CTGATTTAATACATCAGTATTTCACAAGGAAATTTGAGACACATTGGATAATTATCAGAAATAGGGAAAACAGAAAATGACTACTCCATGTCTTTATATTTGTGCAATTAATATTTTTATAGAATCCTAAATGCCTTAGACATTTTCGATTTTCTTTTGCTTGACACCTTATGATAATTGGTCTCTTTTGCATTTGATAGCATTGACAAAATACATTGTAAACACTGACTTATATTTTTCTCTTTTATGTTTTTATGAGTATATGTTTGCAGTACATAATGTCTACATTCCTTGTGGGGAGCTGGTACATGTTCATAACACATCTTAATTTCTTTTTTATCCTCCTTCCCTCCTCTTGATCCCCTTTACCTTGAGAAAGATCTATCCGCATACTTCCTATTATCTATTATCTTTTATTTTGATCTTTATTTATATTTTGGGTTTCTTATATAAGATAAACTATGCAATATTTGGTCTTGCATATCTGACTTATTTCACTTAACATTATGGCCTCAGGGTGCATTTTTATATGTGGTTCCATAAAATGTAAAGTTCCCCTAATAACCAAAGAAATGTTTGCTAATTTAAAGCCCCCTCCAACACACATACACACTCAGAACAAATTAGCTACTCTTGAGACTTTCTCAGAACAGTTTCTCTAGTGGAAATGGTACTTTCCCTTTGAAGTTCCCCACTAGAATAAAACTATTTTGAGGGAAGCGTCATGTTCCTACTTCTGCCTTCATTTTCATATACACTGCTAAATGCTTAGAAGTAAGTCAGTGTGGAACTAATTCTGAGGCAAAATGAAGGGAACAAAAACAATGCAGCAATAGAGTTTTAGTGTGTAGGTTTAAATTTCTGAATCAATATCAAGGTACATATCAGATTTTCAAAAGTATAAATTCTATTTCATGACTTCAGGGGTTTCTATAATCACATGTGTAGTCCATAATTACTAGCATAGTACAGTATAGAGAGTTAATAAGAGAATCAATACAGAATTATTGACAGGTTGACCAAATCCATTCATTCAACAAGTATTTATAGCATGTCTCCTATTTTCTATGTATAAGACACATTTGTAATCAGTAGGAATATTGTGAAATATGTACTAACATTGTAGAGTCTACTGTATAGAACTTAAAAAATAGCCTCAGAGAGTTTAGATTTAATACAGGAAATAGACAAAAAATATGTAAATGCATAGTATATCAGCTACAAGTGTTACAAAGAAGTTAAAGAAGGCCTTCTCAGCTTAGGGCGTGAAGCAGAGTTGGAGGAGGGCAGGTCTGCTGCTGCATGGAGAGGCCTGAAGGAAATGAGGAGATGAAGGAATGGCCCTTGAAGGTATCTGAGGAAGAGGTGTGCTAAGGTCCTGAGGTAAAAATGCGGAACATATATGAGAAATAGTGAAGAGACTGGTATTGGAGGAGCAGGGAGAGAAGGGGAGGGTGGCAGGAGATGAGTTCAGGGGATTGGAGGCCAGGGTGGCAGACTCTGTGGGGCCTTGCCTAATACAGTAGAGACCTGGGGAATTTACTTTCAGTGGGATGACTTTGGAAGCAGAGACTTGCTTTTTTTGATTCAAATGCTCGTTGATCATTTCTCAAATTATCATCTTGCTCTAAAGTATTTTTCATACATTTTTAGCCAAGCAGTCCTGAAATTTTTGTAAACTCCTGGTATATTATTGATACTTTTTAAATAGCATAGAGCCTATTCTATTAGCTGTAACTTCAGTTATTTATTGAACATGAATTTACTTTGGAATGACTATATTCCAGGAATTAAGCAAGCTGAAGCAAAATGAAGAAAACAAAACAAAAAAGGCAGCAGTATAGTTTTACTAGATAGGTTTGAATTTCTGAATCAGTACCAACGTCCATAGCAGATATTCAAATGAGTAAATTCTAAACTCACTGGGAATATAAAGGTATAGAGGACCTTTCTTCAAAGAGCTGAATATCAAATAGGGGAAACAGATTTATAAATAAATAATAGCAAGATGATATGCAAGTGCCTAATACATAGTCAATATTCAGTAGATGCTTGTTAAATGGGTGAATGATGCTATTACTGAGAATGAAATGATTATCTCTGTCTGAGAAAGTGATGCATGGAGGAAAGATTCATATGTGACCCTCAGTTTCATGAGAAAGGAAAATTGTCGGTCTTGTTCACTCCATCATCCAACCCAGAATCTAGCAAATAGTCGGTGTTCAATAAAACTTTATTGAAAAAACAAATGAGTGCAGAGAGAGTTGAGCCAAATGTGAAGGAGAAACAAGATTTGTTTGGGCAGCACTTGCACATTATTGGCAAAGAGAACAATGTATGGAAAAGGTGTAGACAGGCAGATGTGGGAATGTATGACCCATATCAACCTTAAATTTAGATTCCAATATAAAGTACTCTGTCAAATCTACATTTGAGACATCATTTCTGGTGCATAATGAGAGCCTCTTTTGAGTGCATTTCATATGAATCTATATATCTACAGCGTTATTGGTGCATGTTTCTACATATTATGCAGTTGAAATATTTACATTTTAACACAAATACTTCAGTGTTGTTTCAGTTCTTGCAAATAGTATATTTTTTAAGCCAGAGCAACTGTGAAATCAGAACAGATATCACTGTCCTCCCAATACAAAGATTAATTCACTTGGGTACACTCAGTGGGAAAAATAATTACAGATTTTGCCAATAATAAAATGTATTATCTTGTCCACTCATTTTGTAGTTAAACCTTCATCAAGGTATAACAAGCCCGGGAAGTGATTTCAATGGAATTACAAAAGAAACGGAATAAAATTCATTTAAAACTGGTTCACACCAGCTCTCCTGCATGTACTATTAACCGCTAAGATCAAGTCACAAGACATTATTTGGAGGAGAAAGGGTTTAGTGAACCCTAGAAATTGGGTTTGATTTATGCCAGAAAATCTGCCTTTTCACTGCTTGAGATTTCTATGGAAGAAAGCCACAGCCTTTCACCAAATGGTTTCTAAGGAAACCCCTTATAGCACAGCATCTGAAAACAATTTGGTTGTTAATGAGAAATGGTTCTCACGGTGGGAAAGTGTTGACTGAAAGAAAAGCCTTCTGGGTTGGCAGTCAGTCTGTAAAAAGTGTTTACTGTTTTACAGTTATGTTTATGAAATTTCCACGTAGCATCAAATTTTTAGGTCTTTTTTCACAGTCTCTTTAACTTGTAAACATATTTCTAACAAGAAGCTAAGGCAGTAGAAAAGTTTTTGCCCTGAAAATGTAGATACTTGAACTTGCAAATGTATTCAAACAAGTTACATTCCAGAATCTGCCCACTCCATTGAGTTTTTCCATCTGTTTTGGAATTCCAATATTTTAGAATTCATATATTAGCATTAAATTATAACTAAATTAAATTATTTTGCATAGAGTACAGCTAAAAATAATAAAACACTATAAAATTTATATATTTTTAAAATGCCAAACAGCACATGAAATTTTCAAAATGTACTGTTTTGAAATGAATTATCTTTATTTTACATCTTTTTAGTTCTTCCCAAAAAGAAAATAATTGCAGTGTTTGAATAATAATCATTTTGTAATAATTTCAAGATTTAATTTTAATACAAAACGAAGCACTAAACCTCTGGTTAAAAAAATAAATGCTGGGTATGTGCTAATTCCTCTAAATGTACCTACTGAAATCAGATTCCACAATAACCAACCACACCTACATTTTCTAGATAATCTTTAAGTAATAAAGCCAAAGGAAGTTCATTTAGGAATTGCAGATCGATTTTTGTCTCTAACATGATTCAGGAATTTGAATCTCCATATAACAGGAACCAAAAAAGTGAGTACTGGAAGTTCAGAGGAGAACATTTAGAACATTTCTTGCCCCAGGAACACTGTACATTTTTGCGTCTATGTGAAAATGTAAGAGTTGCTCAGTCCTTTGAAAGTCCTGGCATCGTTTTGCTCGTGGTTGCCGTCGGTCCATCTGTGCCCGCGTTTGCTTTCTGCTTCAGACTTTTGTGCAAGTCGGACTTGCCAAGAGTCTTGTTGTTGTCCTCGGTTGTTTTCCTCATTTGACCCCACCTCCTTTCTTTCTCTTCTCTGCTCTTTGCGCTTCCTCCACTTTGGACAGCTGCTTTCACTGGAGGCTCTGCTTTGGGCAAGGAAAAAATGCTGCCAATGAAAATAGGAAAAAGAAGCAAATAGGAAGAATGGCAAGTGCTGTCCTGTGCTGCAGTCCTCTGGCTGTCCACTTCGGGGGCTTCCATCCGTTCGCTAGTAGATTAGGAGCGGATCTGCTGCTGGAGGCTGGCTCTGAGTGACCAGAGATTATCCGAGAGACACTTTGCCCCTCATCTTAGAATCAACAAATCCAAAAGTTGTTTGTGTTGAAAGAATTAGGACGGTGATGATTTATATTGACTTAACCCACTGCACCCCTTCAGGGCGTATAGTTAGATTTGGCCAAATCTATGCTGTTGTCAATAAGGCTGGTTATAATCAGAATGATACATAGAATATTATTATGACATTTAAGAGGGAGGGAATAGGGCTTTCTATTATCTCATTCCTTACAATACACAGAAACTCATAAATATTAATTCATGAACAGAATGAAGAAAATATTTTTATAAGCAAAAATAACAGCAAGAAATAGTTTATAGGTGTTGTTATGCCAGTGTGCTTGGTTTGTGTTGTTTAATGGGAACTTTTTCGAGTGGTTTAAGACGAGAAGAGATGTAATGCTTGTCTTCACGAGTAAGAACATCAGGAGGGTTGACTGATGGAGCTCTCGAGAAGATATGCTCATCACAGAAATGTAGTTTCTGCCTCAGCACAGTTAACTTGGTTCTATTTCTCTTTTTCCTTGTACCCACTATGGCACCACAGGTAGCTCCCGGACAGGCAGAGCGTGTAACTGTAGATCTCTGTGTTAGAAAGAAATTCTATCTCTGTAACCCTGTTGACACCTCACACTGTCACATATACAGGTGAATGTGGAAGGTACTCAAGTGAAATATTTCCTCCCTTCGACCCTTGTCTGAATACCATTAATTGTTAGTATTGGAGCTGACCACAGGAGGGGCCGGAAGCACATGTAAACAAGAAAAAGAAGCAACTGCATTTGCTGAGTCAAGATCCTGGTCAAGATCGCATTTGCTTACCTTGGAACACTTCTCAAGATAAATTCAGCTCAGTATTGTAGGTAAGTGACTGCTGTGTGCTGGACTCTTCACTAATAACTATAAACACTAAGATTAATAAGTGTCTTTCTCAGGCAAGAGATCACAGAGTAGAATCACGATAACTTCTCCTCTCAGAATTTGGGGTTTTAGATAATTTCCCTGGATTTTTGGGTAGTGCTATCTTCTTCATTTCATAAAGTTTTAACAAATGCCCTATCTGATGTTAAAGTAGCAAATCCTGATAACAAGTGAAACAAGAGCCTCCACCTTCGAGAAAGTCCCACTTTAGTGGAGGGGAAGGACATGTAGAAGAGAAATTGTAAAGAAAAATTTAGAAAAATGAGTACAAAATATTCCTTCTGGAACATTTAATATCTGCAGCTGATAGACCTTGCTACTTAACAATGAGAATCCATGTAAGGTGTTTAGCGTGTACCAGAGTTTTGGGGCATACTGAAAGCACACAAAAGGTGTTAATTATCTTATCTTTATCACCTTCACCTTTCCTATTTCAGTTGCTCATGCCAGATATTAAGTACAAACCTAGCCTTTCCATATTTGCCCTCTTTATTTTATTTTAATTTTTTTTTTTGTTTTTCTCTGGTACCGGGAACCGAACTCATGACCTTGCACTTGCCAGGCAGGCGCTTTTGCCACTGAGCTAAATCCCCAGCCCCTTCCCCTCTTTAAAGGTCCCACTAACGAAAGTCCATTTGCTTTCCAGGTGAATGAGACTGTGTATGTTAGCACATCGTTGTCACTTGTGTTTTTCTACAGTGGCTAAGGGTCACGCGCGGGCGTGAACACAAACGAAAGTTCCATAGAAAGAGGGGACTCTATTCTTCTTCCTTCCGTTTCCATTTCAGCAGCTTTGCTCTTTTTGGAAAATGAATATTGAGTCTTTTATTGTGAATCTTACAATGAATCCTCATTTAAACAAGGTAAGGTTTAGTAAGTTCTGCTCTAGATGACTGATGCCACTGTGAATGTTCAATTAGCTTTTAAAGCAGTGCCTTCGAACCTGCACCACTGCTACTTAGGGCTGGATAACTCTTGTTGTGGGAGGGCGGTCTGAGTATTATAAGATGTTGTTATCACCTACCCACAAGATGACAGCATTCCTTCAGTCAACGAGAAATGTCTCCAGACATCGCCAAATATTCCCCAGGAGTAGTGTTCCCGGTTGAGAAACATTGCGTCTGACCATCTGACCACTGATTTTAAAATGCTGGTACCATGCGAAGTGACTAAGGGTGACCTTTCCTCTCTGTGGAGGTCTCGGTCCGCCATGCTTTTTCAGTTATTCGCTGCCTATGCTAGGGAAGAGCAGAACAGTGGAGTAAGGTGGGTTTTGCCCTGAAGTAGCTTTTACTCTAACAATCTGAAAATCATGTTGATTCCTTAATTTTTGGGAACATGCGAGGTGATTCTTTGAGGTAGTACCTTCAGCCTCCTAGGTAGCTGTTATAAATGTCTAAAACCAGCCATTGGAAACCTCTGTAATTTTGTGTTTTTTTGTCTTGTTGAGATAAGATCTCTCTATGCAGTTCAGGCTGGCCTTGAGCTCGCTTCATAGCCCAGGCTGCTCTCAAACTTGCCACAATCCTCCTGCCTCAGCCTCCCAAGTGGTGGGATTACAGGCATGCGCCACCACACCAGGCTTCCTATAATTTTCTGAAACTTTTTCACTGAAAAGTTGATTCTTGCACAAGCAATGTTTTGAAATTTGTTGTTTTGTTAGTACATACTTTTTTTTTATGCTTAAAGTTTTTTTCTCCAAATCCTTTATAAACCAACACTTGTGTTATGGATTTAGGGGATAATAACAGCACCTGTTCTGATACATAGAGATCTTACTGTTTGGACAGCTGTTCACACTTTGAACATTTGTACAAGCACATTCAATTTTAAAAGAATAATTGTGTGATAAAACATCTTCAAACTGTATAATTGAAGTTAACCTAAATGTTCAATTTACTACTATGAAGTATGTAAAAACTTTAAAAACTATTAACCCTGCTTTCCTATAACTAAACATTATGATTTACTTAAAATCAAATATAAGACAACACATATCATTTAATGTTGAATTTGCACTGATAAGATATTGGGAAAGTTAGCTATGTATTAATGAAAGAATTAATTTCCAGAAGTATAATATTTCCCTTGCATTTATCTAGTCCTTTACAAAGTGAGTCAGTGAAGCTGTATTAAAAATACAAATTTTTTTTTTATTTTTTTATGATACTGGTAAAGAAGCTTCAAGGAGATATATAGTTACTCTTATTTTTAATATTACCATTTTCACTGAAGTCTTTTCTATAAAGATTTTTATTTTGCAACTCTAGAATTGTTTTCATGTATACTTCTGTATACATCATTTTATCTTAGGCTGCTGTTTATTGAGTGCTTACTAAATGTCAGCAGCCAGGCTCACCACCTTACATACACAATGTGTTTGCTCTCAGGACCTCATCAAAAGTTATACAGTAAGGTCCCAAACCTGAATCTGAATCCAGGCTCTCTCAACCCCAGCACTCTTGTTCTTAACCACTATAGCACACGGCTCCGTCGTGCAACCTGTTCACCATTGTTTGGACCCCGAAAGAAGTAGGTACTTGTTATCCAGGCTGTCTGCTGCCCTTAGATGACGATGTAGACATTTTGGTCTTTACATTCCAAAAACACTAGGCTAGTTTTGATTTGTTGAAATGGAATCCAGTGATCTATCTTAATCTTTTACGGTGACAAGGGCAAATTGAAATCATCTGATTTCCAAACTTGAGAGGTTTTCCTATTGCCTCAGTTGTTCTCCACCTCTAAACTAGATAGACAGATGTGTGGTACAAATATAACATTGTTCAAAGGACAATCAGATCACAGTCATGAAATAGTCATACTTAAATGGTTCAAGATAGCTCGCTTTTGTTTTGCTATTATAAATTTTGTAAGTCATATGACTAAAGCAGATTTATTAGAGAATTTGGAAATGGATGTTTTAAAAACAACATTTTTGTATAATGGAAAACATTTTGATGTATTTCCTTATTCACTTTATACTACAATGATCACTGGTTGCTCCTTGATAAAATATTTAACTTATAAAGTACAAAGCTGGGGCTAGGGATTTAGCTCAGTGGCACAGCACCTGCTTGGCAAGCGCGAGGTTGTGAGTGTGATTTCCGGTACCAGAAGAAAAAAACAAAACAAGACAAAAAAATAAATAAATAAAGTACAAAGCTGCACATGTATTATAAGTTGCTCATTTTTGGAACTAATTTATGTAGCATACTTGCGTGTGGATGTGAAAAAAGAATATGACAGAGATCAGTGAAAAAATAAATCATAGTCTACAGGTGTCTGATCTATAAATTTTCAAATTTCAAAACAGGACAGTGAGTCAGTGGTTCATTTAACTGGGATACCTAGGCAAGGATGGGGAACCAAGAATGCTATTCCTGTTATTCTCATTTTACAGATGAACTAAATAATCAAAGAGAGGTTAAAGAAGTCTCCCAAGGCTGTATGGCTGGGAAGTATCATCTATGAGTCTTGAGCTCAGCTGAAGCCCTGCGGATCATGTTCTGTACTCCTTTCCAGGTTTCTATGGCTTTGTTTGAAAAAAATGGTTCCTCATAAAATTTCACATGTAGGACAAGGCTTCACACTGATTGCACTCTCAGGATATAACTACTTCCAACAGGTACTGTGAACATAAGATTACCTATACATTTGAGATGGCCTTTCTATACCAGAATTTGGTTCTAGGCAGCCCAGCACATGTCTCTACTGCCAGGCTAAGTGCCCGATGTGCTCTTCTGTCTAACAGTCTCTACATACCTGCTGCAGAATGAATCAGTGGAAAATTTTTCTTTTAAAACATATTCCTGACATTAGGCTAACAGTGGAAAATGCAGTTTTCCTTAAAGAAATACCTCTTATAAAGGACTTTGGTGACACAGTGGTTCCACCAGTATTCTAAAAGGCACCGTGGTCTGGTGAAGAGGTCAGTGCACTGTCTAAAGTAAATCATTTCTTGTTCTTGACACAGCAGATCTGAGACTGTCAGTTTGGGCCTCTACTGTAGAGATGGTTCCTAAATGATACACAGATATGAATTGTTGAGACCTCAAGTCCTGGTTCCTTTAGGATCCCTGTTAGCTGAGAGCAGCGCAAAGTGAGGATCACCATCTTTAGGGTCCACGGGCCTGAGGGTGAGTTGTAGTTGTGAGGTGCAGTAGTGGCATGACTGTCATATGATGCAATTCCTTAACTGACTCACCTGAACATGAGAATAATTATTCCTACCCATAGGATTGCGTTCTGGGTGATGGAAAAAAATGGTATGTCCTGGCTATTATTAAATAAATTATATTATTTTGTTCTTTTTAATACCTGCAGCTGAGGGTGCTTGGTTGTAGGCATGAAAGGAACAGAGTGAAAAGAGGAAGAGAAGGAGGAGGGAAGCAAAATGAAATAAAAGTGGCTAAAATTTTAAAATTTGACCCTTATTACTGAAATATCGATACCTCAATGTTCTTATGACCAGATTTTTATATTTCTCTGGGCTGCCTTTCTTGACAGTTTATTCCCTAAGAATAAATGGTGACCCTTAGTAAGTCTAAATTTATACCTTACCGTTACCAATCTAACCAACATAAAAAGGGGAAACTTTTCTCAGAAATACATGCAAAAGTCTTGGCTTACTTTAATTGGACCAAATATTGCATATCTCCATTCCTGAAACAATTATAGGTCCAGAGGTGTTCAGTGTTCTGATAACATACCTACCTAGATAACATATCCAAACCCAGAAGACATACCCACCCCTGGAATCAGGGATAGTTTCAGCTCCATCCAATGCATAAAGATGGGAGCTACAGGAAGCATGGTTCCTGAAAGAAAACTGGAGATAGTATTACCACAGGAAGGGAGAACCAATATTACAGGTGGCAAAACCAGAAAAATATCCATTGTACGGTGTCAGCTACCTAATATATATTTTGGGTCACATACAAACTCCTATTAAAACCATTACATTAAAAGTAATCACAGGGGCTGGGGATTTAGCTCAGTGGCAAAAGCGCCTGCCTGGCAAGCGCAAGGTCGTGAGTTCGGTTTCCGGTACTGGAGAAAAACCAAAAAAAAAAAAAGTAATCACACTATTTGACAAATTTACTCAGAAAGTACAGTGAGATTTCCTGGAAATTTTATGAGCCTTAGTTTTATTTTCAATTTTTTTTGGAGTTATCCTATCAATTCCTTTACTCTTGACCAAAATATTTCTGATCAGAAAAACAAATTGATGTCTGATAAATTTCCTTAATCATGTTCCAGAAGAAAGAACAGATTTACTTCATTTAGGCTGTTTAAGTTCTTTTGTATTTATTTTTAAGCTCCTAATGGCTATATGGACACCACCACTCCGGCTTTTCTTTTTTCGGTTTCGTTCTAGATGCAGTGATAGGGTGCGCGTAAGGGCGCTCCGCGGGCCCCGGAGTACGCTGTGAGCTGAAGTCAGGGGCAGGGACAGCTCAGGTGTTGTGAACTGTGCGCTGAGTCCCCTTGTACCTTCGCAAATAGTAAGGTATAGCGGCAGTGGGGGGTGGGACTGGGAAAGATTAAAGTGTTACCGCTCCAACACGTGAATCACGGCGGTAAAAAGTCCTGCACAAAGGTACTGAGGAGCAAGGTCTGCAGACTCCACTCAGGCCAATAGCTGCTTCGTTTTGTAAGTAAAGTTTTATTAAAACACAGCACCACTCACTTGCTTACTCACTTCCTGTGGCTGCATTGGTGCTTTCTAGTGCCAAATTGAATACGTGACAGAGCCCCTCTGACCCCTAAGACCTAGAGTACTTACAGTCTGACCCTTTGTAAAGACAGTTTGTGATACCTGTTCCAGAGCAAGGAGGATATGGTTCGGGTTCTAAAAGAACTGCTTATTGAACCTGAGTTTAAAACACATTGTCTACTATCTTAATCACAAGGAGCACTCGAGAATAACAGTAGCCAGGTCTCAGGAAAAAGTTGCTTCCCTACAAAAGGTTCTTCCAGGGCCAGTGCAGGAGGTGAAGAGGCAGAATCATGCATTTTTTTTTTTTTTTTTTCCAGAGTCACTCTTCTTGCAGTGAATCCCTCATCTAATTGAGGGAGACACAAGGGGCCAAAATTTGTACTTAGTCAACATAGAGAAGAGCTGAGAAAGAAGACACACCCCATTCCGCTTCAGAGGTACGGGGCCGTGAATCCCCGCTTTCCTTTTGTTGCTACCAAGGAGGAATGGAGAACAGCCTTGGTAAGGAAGCGGGTCACTGAACAGGGGTATTTTCTGCCGGCACAGGGAATGTGTTATAGAGAGGAGGGAATCAATGGAAAAGGAAGACTTTGGGCCAGGCGCGGTGGTGCACGCCTGTAATCCCAGCGCTTGGGATGGCCGTGAGTTCGAGGTCAGCCTGAGCTACATAGTGAGTTCAAGGCCTGGCTGAACTACGTAGTGAGACCCTGCCTCAAAAAAAAAGGAAGACTACCACTATGGCCTTTACTTAGACATATACTTCAGTGAAGCTAAAGGTTCCAAAGTAGTGTCTTCAAGGGCTAATGTACCTGCGGGGTCCTTTTCCATTTGCGTGTTAACCGGGCCCTCACGGGGATCCTTCTCCCGTTTGTGTCTGTGCTTATAACGCTGTGCTTGAGTGTCTACAGACGGACTCGTCAGTCTTATAGCTTAAATCAATCGCTCTTTCCTCTGTGTTCTTATTTCATCTTATCACAATGCAGTAGTCAGCACACCTGGCCTAGTATTTCAATTATACGTGCACATGAGCTCTTCTCCATGCTAGGCTTTACTTTAGAGCAGCATTTAGCCTTATCCCAAATTTAACTGTTCCCAAATCCTTGATAGTGAATGTCTAATTGTAATACCTACTGACTAATATTGGTTTAAATTAAATGGCATTTATTATATCCTGATAAGATTACAGCAGATGTAGGGCTGGAGTTGGCCATGGCTGATATAAGTTCCTCAAAGGAATCAGCCACTTAGGATCTTTTGGTTGCAAGAGATAAGCACTTGGGTAGCAGAGACATCTTTACTCACAAGAATAACTAGGTATTTCACAGCATCAAAGGAGTCACTGAACCCGGGCGCTTCAGGGACGTTAGGAAGTGGGACTTTTCCGAGGACTTGAGCATCAGGAACTTGTGAACCTTGTGACCTAGGAAATCCCAAGGGACTTCCAATCATAATTTAAATTCCTAAGCTTCTGTTTCACCTGGTTGATTTAGGAGTCCAACGCTGTGATTAGGAAACAAGATCTTTACTTTTAACAAAAACAGCACAAAGTAAGAGGGAAAAGTAGTGGACAAACTAAAACAAGATTTACCACAGTAACCTGAGGACACACTAAGCCCCCAAGATGTTCTCTCAACAGAGTACTTTTAGAGATGACAGTGAGCAAATAAATAAAAGTATAAATGACTTTGGCTTAGACATAACATAGACTAAGGCTTGGGCCACACTGGAGAAGCAGAGGAAAGAGTGCACAGAGAGAAGCGACACTGGCAGAGAAGACCGGCCGTGCCTCCGCTACCGGGTGGCAAGGTGGCTTCATGTCTTAGTGGCTTCTCTTGCTTTTCTTAAACTTGCCAATGTGTGGTTCAGTTAGCGCACCTTAACAACGGGGTCACACTCTGCGTGACGCGGGGTTAGGTGATGTCACCACTGTGTGAATATTATAAAGTGAACTCACACAATCCTGAATGATACAGATCAATCACTCAACGTGGCCCTTTAATGTGAATGACTTCTTTTTTTGTTTGTTTGTTTTCTTATTTTTTCCGGTACTGGGAATTGAACTCACGACCTTGCGCTTGCCAGTAAGGTGCTGTGCCGCTGAGCTAAATCCCCAGCCCCTGTGGCCCTTTAATGTAATCAAAAGCTACAGTAAACATGAGATGTGTGAGAGAGCTGCCAGAGTGACAAAGCTTTTTTTACAAGTAGAAGAAGTACTTTCTAAAATAACAACAAAAAGTAAGTATATAACCCAGTAACATGTCATTCATTACAGTTACCAAGTTCGTAACCGTGTGTGTTATAATTTTATATGACTGGCAGCACAGAAGGTTTGTTTACATAATCATCAACACAAACATACGAGCAACACACCCAAAATAGATGATGATGACTGTGACGTCACTAGGCAATTGACAGGAATTTTTCAGCTCCACTGTAATCTTAGGGGACTACCATGAAGTCTGTTGTTGACCCAAATAGGTGGGTGACCGTATTTTCCTTCTAACTGTTCTGTCCTAGGATAGCCCTTCAACTTAGAAATCAGAAATATTTAATTGTCTCATGTTTCAGAATATTCAGCTATAGGACAATTGGAATTAAAATTATCTTAGCTATCAAAGAGTAAATGAAATCAGATGATCTCAGGCAATACGTGTACATGTCATTTGCCAGGTCTGCCATTTGGTAATGATAATGATAGTAGTGATTTAAGGTATATTTCACATTTCTGAGGGCCAAGCATACATACACCTACACACACACACACACACACACACACACAATCTTATATGTTCTCACAAAACTCCTGAAGTATGGATAGAATTATTAGTCTAATTTTACATACAAGAGAATAAAGATATAGACAGGATAAACTATAGGGTCAAGATTCAAATTCCCTAATTTAACATCCACTCCTCAATGTCTTTGTTTTGTTTTTTGAGACAAGGTCTTACTATGTCGTTCAAGCTGGCCTTAAACTCACTATGTACCCTGAGCTGGCCTAAACCTGCAGTGATCCCTGTCTCAGCCTCCCAAGTGTTGGGATTATGGGCATATGCACCATCAAAGCCTCAATTCTTGAAAGTGCAAGTGTTTACAAAAGCTCAAGAATTAAGCGGTTTACAGGAAATCTGAGTTTTTTTAATACCTCAGGATCAAAATTGTGTCCTATTTTTCTAGTCAAATCTTAGAGTTACTCTGATACCTCCATGGAAAGGAATTTCTGTCTCTACCAAGCAGGAAAAGTTGGCCAGGGGTGGCAGTGCAATGCTGTAACCCCAGATATTCAGGAGGCTGAGGTTGGAGAATCATGAGTTTGAAGCCAGCCTACAGAACTTAGTGAGACCTGTCTCAAAAAAAAAGAGAAAGGTTTAGAAAGTATGTGTATGGGTTACTAGTGATCACAGCTCAGTTCAGAGACCCTGGGTTCAATCCCCAGTACTGGGGGACAAAAAAGTAAGATATACACGAACAGCTTCCCGAGCAGCAATAAGAATGCCCAGTACTGACCAACTGCAGCGCGGTGGGGTTATGATTTATGAGCACTCCGTGTTTTTCAATCTCACTACACACTGAGAAAGGTACTCTCCACAATCTGATAAGGCAGGTATTTTATTGTTTCCATTGTAATTGTATATTGTTATATAACAAAATGGTTAGAATGCATGTGCTCTGTTAAACACTTGCTTAATAAAAACTAGTGATGATGGAGCAACGGTCTCTCTGCCTGCTGTAGCCCTTGGGAAAGGTGTGGGAAAACAGTGCTGTCCTCTGGTAGCAGAGCTTCTGTCAGCGATGGCTGCGCTTGACTTAGTTGTTCCTTCTCAGAATGATTCAGTCTCAGAATTGTTCTTTAACCTTTTTTATTCTGTTAAGAAAAGTTTCTACGAAGTGTTTCTGAAATACACAGTGTAAAGGAGCATGAACAATCCCCCGGTGAGTGCAGTGCAGAAGACGCAGGTCCACAGCCGCCACTGGCCTGGCCGCTGCCCTCCTTTTGGCCTGAGCCGGCGTCGACAGAAATACAGGCTGGAGGGGAGGCGGATGCCAAGAACCTGTCTCCTTTTTACCTCGTTACTCTCTTTCCACGGGGTTACTGTGTCTCTTTTGTAGTCCAACCTGAAAATTACTTTGAGAAGGACAGATACATCCCCGGGCCAGCCTAGTAATGCATTAGTTCCCCTGCTTAGGTGGAAAAAAATACTAGTGAACCTTGAAATATTGAGCCTGAGGGTCAAGTATTTGAAATTCTTTTCCTTTGTCACTGAAATTTTTGACATGTTGCTCTGAAGCCATAGCATTAGATTGCACTTAGTTCTGTGTTGCTTCAGCTGTGAATTTGGCTCCTACAGGCATTCTATGATATATATATATAAAAAAAAGAAGTGGACAAAATGGTTCCATCTAATTCCCCCAAAATGGGACCTTCACCTTGGTAATGTATTGTCGGTGACAGTTACTTAACTCTTAAGGCCAGTCATAGTGGGACAGGATACTGCATAAGCCAAAGACCACATAAATTATCAATGTTAGGTACCAAAAGGGTGGGGAGGAAATGGGGTACAACCTCTTTTCTCTCAACTGTTGTAATGTTTTGCCTTTTAAAAAATCGGTTTAAAAAGCACACTGAGCCCAACTGATGCAGGTGCAACTATAACAACCACAAAGAATTAGGTTTATTGAAACATGCAGCCCTGTTAACCTTTTCCCTTCTCCGGGGACTGCTCCCTGCAACAACTTCTCTTCTTTTTTTTTTCAAGTGTTATTATTTCATGTGATTATATCAAATTCAGTCTATTGGAGATTTCTACCTCCCCTGTAATTTAGGTTTTATGCAACATATGATTACTCTGTTATTAAAAAAAAAATCTAGCTGCCTTCCCTCACTGGGAGATTGTCTGGCATACTTAATGTTCTTACATAGAAATTGAGATGAAAGAACAAATAAACCTAAGTAAACTCAGCGTTTTAAAGGAGCGCCTTTAAATGTGAGGGCCTTGTCAACTGGTTAAAAACTAAAAGTTGGTTTTGTTCTGAATATCCTTGCTGGGCCCATTATGTGTTAAAAAAAAGGGCCACAGCCCCTTTGCAAGGCCTCTGAATGAACCCTATTCATTCCCTACTTGGAAATGTCTCTGTAGCCACAAAGAGAAACAATAGTTACAACCTAATTTCTTTGGCGCCGATATCAGCAGAGGAAAAACCAGAGAGACCATTCTGAGAACTCTAGAAGCTTCTTTTGGTGATTATATAATTCTGCATTCATTGGTCATATCTGTGTATTTAAGTACATTCGCTAAAAGATTATAAAGTCTTTCAGTCATAGTGTAATATCACATTTCATGTGTGAAGTAGTATTTTCTCAATGAAGTGCTTCAAAATAATTTGCTTCTTATGGTTGCTAAAGTCTAAATAGGGGCTGGGGATTTAGCTCAGCGGCGCAGCGCCTGCCTGGCAAGCGCAGGTTGTGAGTTCAATTCCTGGTACCGGAAACAAACAAATAAACAAACAAAAAGTCTAAATAAACACACACAGCATGTGTCCTGAGGCTTTAAGAAGAAAGTCTGTGTTTTTTATTACTGTATTTTTAAGTTAGATGAGAATTCAAAACTACAGACAAATCCATTAATTATTTTCCACAGGTACCTGTGGAAATCAGCGAAGGGTATAGATCTGGAGTTAGTAACGGGGATACCATGCAGGTTAATGTGAACTCCAAGTGATATCTGCAAACGAATGAGAGGCACAGAGCACTCGACAAGCTTTTGTGAGGGCAATAAGGCATGCTTTGATACCCGGGTGCAGGCAGAGAGAGGGCAAAGAGGCCATCCCTAGGGAACAAAGAGAATCAGGCTTCTTTATAGGGCTTGAAGGAAAACGAGGGACAGTAGGTGGGAAGATCTTAGCAAACTTCAGGGGTCAAAGTTCTCCAAATGTCCGTGCCTCAGTGGTAAACGTCCTCAGGGCACCCTGTGTAAATGTTTGGATGTTTTCAGGTGTCCTGGCTCTCGGAGGATTTCAAACGACCTTATCTCTTTTTACAGCACCCTGTGTTTGCCAAGGGCGACAGGGACGGTGCTGAGCTGAGTTTTCCCTGAGAATAATGCCGCTGCTGACAAACAAATAAAGGTTGGTTGCTGGGGAAAGGTTGCTGGGGAAAGTCATGTCCGAATTGATCCTGACAGTATCTAGTGAACTTACCAAAGTGCAGATCTGACCCGGGCAGGTCGTTCTTCCTTGAATGACCCATTGCCCTTAAAGGGCAGGCCGCTGACCTGGTTCCTCTTCCCGTATGGTGTCCTTGCTGCATAACCTGCTCAGACCTCTCTCTTACCAACCCCATTAATCTGACCGCACTTACCCTCAAGTCTTAACTTAGGATTCCTTTTTTTCAGGAAGACCTTTAGTTATACTAACTAATTAGTTCATAGTTACTGTATCTGAAACAGAGATGGGCCGGAGGTTTAGCTCAGCGGCACAAGCGCCTGCCTGGCAAGTGCAAGGTCCTGAGTTCGATTCCTGGTACCAATAAAAAAAAAAAATCGAAACTCAGATTGTATGGGGATTAGTTGCTAAACATTTAGTACCAGACTGTGAAGAACTTTTATACTACTCTTTCAAGGTTTTGAAATGGAAAATGATGTTTGCTCTCTTTTAAAAGTTTGGAGGGTATATTGGCTCTTAGAAGCCACCTCATTAGTGGTCAGTGAACTAGAAAACATTACACTGATTTTTTTTCTCTTAAGTGATGATATCATCTTCACTCTCTAAAGCACTGTAAAAGAGCCCTCATTCTGATTACACTTTTTAGAGACCAGCTAATTCATTACTGAAAAATATCAGCTGCCAGTATTTGACCATTGGTTGCAATTTACCAGTGAGTGATACTAAATCTAAGATCAGCTAAAATTTGAAGATCATTAAATTATTAAATAGTGTGCATAGTACAGTGGTTCAGAGTGTAGGCTCAAGAAAGATGTAGTTTAAAATTCTCTTGCTACCACTGACTAGGTGATGGGTGTGGACGAGCTACTTAGACAACTTACTTCGCAAAGGAAACTTGAACGGAAGGCTAGAGGTTGTGGCAAGGAAGGTGAACCCTAAAAGCAGCTCACCAAGCACGAGTGTCTTTGAATTTGGGATGTTCTCTAAAAATTGATGTGATCTTGCATTCTTTTTCGTAATAAATTTCTATTCATTTTACAAGAGAAATATCTTTTAAGTTGGAAGAGGGAGTTAAGTTGGTTGGTGCTTATTGCCTCAAATTTTCTGTACAATTATTTCCCTAAGAAACCATTCTGTGTTTATCCTATGGCTTCAAGCACTTTTTCTTTTTATACTTTTATGGTATAAAAGCATGTAAACAGATTAAGGAAATTACCAGGAAAGTAAATATAAAATCTGAACAAAGTTGAAGTTTTACATTATGCTTTAGCCGTTGCTTTACTATGTTTACCCCAAGAATACAATGTTCTAGATGATTTTTTAAAAGTCTGGCTCAACAATGTTATAAAATAAACTTTTCATTTTCCTCCCCTCACCACGCCTGAATCCAGATTACCCGTCTTTCTGGCTCTCTCAGAAACCTCAGGGAGCATGCTGGCTTCTCCCTTTTGTCTCCCCACATATGTAATCTTTTCCCACAGGATTCACTTTACACACATAATTCTTTCTATCCTTGCTTTTCCTTTTTACTTATTTCCTGTAATCAGCAGTTCGTTTTAAGAATTTATTATTTCTTGCCTGTGATACCACTCAGTTAAAAAACTTTACTGTATGTGTTCACTTTCCCCTTTCATTTAGCACATGAACTATATATATATATATTTTTTTTCCTCATCAACAAGGAAATTTTCAAAAGAGGGCCAGGCATGGTGGTGTACATCTGTAATCCCAGCACTCGGGAGGCTGAGGCAGGAGGATTGCTGTGAGTTCGAGGCCAGCCTGGCCTCCAGAGTGAATTCAAGCCAGCCTGAATTGCATAGTGAAAACCTGTCTCAAAAAAGACCCAAAACAAAACAAAAACGATATCCAAAGGAGCTTTCCCAATACCATTTCACACTGACCTTCCTTTCCAGCCTAATCTTTTCTCACTATCTTACATGGCCCATTCTCTACACCAAAGCGACCTGTGGACTCTTCCCTGAGATCCTATGGGCTAAACTGTCTGCAGGAGTCAGCACCAGCTACTCCCACTGTCTATCGTTGCTTACATACTGCTAAATCTCACAAGTTTTCTCTTCCATAAATCCTTGTTTGCTCATTCCAGATAATTATATAGGATTTAGTCCCTTTTATTTGTTCATGGAAGAGATAAATGTCAAGTGATAAATTAATGTTGGTCATTTAGCAAAGACTAGGACTGAATTGGTACCATGTACCGGAGGCTGTAATATAACACAAAAGCGAAACTGATAACTAATTCAGTCCTGGGTTTTCAAGGGTCCCTGTAGTGAGTTAGTGCACTTGGGAATCAGGCACAGCCTCCCTCCTAACCATGGAAGATTTAGACAGATCTGAAGAATGAAGAGGAGCTAGCAGTGTGAGCTGGGAGGAGATTAAGGCGCTTGGGGAACACGAAAGGGTGTTCTGGGTAGAGGGAAAACCACGTGCAAAGCTCCTGAGACGGGAATGAACCGGACAGTTGAAATGCTGAGAGAAAGCCAGTGTGGACAGCCAGGTCGGACATGGTAGGAATAATGGAACAAGGGGAACTGAGATATTAGCAAAAAAGAGATTGACAGCCCTGGGCTGGAAGGAGGGAAGGTACAGAAAGCAGGGAAAGTGTGGAGGAAATAGAATGCTTAAAGACAATTTATGAGTTTGACAAAAGGATGCTGTGATAGTTCTTTGGGGAGTCAACTTGCATGAGAAACGCTTGGTGGGTTCGTTTAGCACAGTTCTGGACCTGTCTGGGTGACTGCCTCACCGAAGAGGAAGACCCAGACCAGATGTGAGCGCTACCACCCGGTACACGTGGCATCCAGGCTTGTAGCCCGGATGGAATAAAAATGGAAAGAAGGAGGTCTCACTTCTTCTGTGGAGCAGGATGTCCGCTCTCTGCCATCCTCTCTGGACTCCAGGTTTCCAGTGTGGACGCTTCAGCTTTGCAGAGCAGACTTCTCAGCTTCCCGGGGCATACTTTTCCACCTTCTAGTGCAGACCTTTTCAGTTCTCGCTATGGATTTTTGCAAGACTTGGCAGGAACTTCAGTCCTGTGACTTTTACTGGATTTTCCTGCTCTCTAGTATGCAGATGCCTTCTTTTACATCTGACTCTACAGATGCCCATTGTGAACCTACCTTGTAATCCTTTATATGTCACACATATAATCCTTTATCTATCGTATATTTTACTATATTACATCTGTTCCTCTAGTGCACTCAGGTATAGATGGTGATAGGAATTGAACCAGCCAACGGGAAATGTAGAATCTTTTGGTCAATGAGTCTTATAACTCATTTCTCAGCAAACCCTTTAATACCTGATTTTCTCCTATATTCTGTCGTATTTTATTGTTGTTTATGTACTTTTCTTATTTTATGCTAAATTATAAACTCCCTATGTACTATGAGTTTGTACTTATTATAAAAATATGGATACATTTTTTAAGTAAAGAAGTCTTTGTTGCTATATTTATAGAATTCCTTTCTTTAATCACTAAATGAAGGGCTGCTCCTCACATTCATCTAATTTGTCTTTTGGCAAATGTTGAAGCCACAAGCTATATAACACTGGCAAGCATGAAGAACGGCACCAAACTGAAAATACTAAATACAAAATAATATTTTAGCTAATAGATCTGGCTACTTGCTGGAGTTCCTCTCTTTTAAAATGTAGCAAACGTCACAGGTCTAGGCCCATTCACAGATTGAAGAGAGGGAAGGGAAGGCAAACAAGTAGTGTTTGGGTTCAGTAGATCAAATTTCGTCACAGTTCCTTTGTCACTGAAATTCTCTACATTCTTCTACTCCAAAGTGTTTTTGTTCCAGTGGGATTGCTTCTCACTCTTCAGAATGAGTATTTTCATGAAGAAATCACTAAGATGATAACAACCTACACAAATGACATTAGGTTCTTTTCACTTAGAGCCTCTCTTAAATACACCTTTCGTTTTCCTCTACACAGACTTCACTGAGTCTCATGTGTATTTTTTTGTATATTTACCATATATAGACATGATCAGGATGTCATTATTTTTCAGTTAGGTGTTCGATAAATTCACCTGTATTTATTTTTAACCTCATTTTTAAAATTAATTACAAGAAGACATCATCCTTATGGTATGAGACCCAGAGTTAGTAGGAAATGATATTAAAACTAACTCATAAAATATTGGTGATCATCATCTTCTTCTGTTCTCCTACTAGGGACTTCCGGAGGGTGATTGATTACTCCAATGAAGCTGCAATACAGGTTCCAAAAGGATGTGGTGCTCATCATACTGGAAAAGCCAAAAGATTAGCTGTACTCTCTCTGGGAGAAGCCATCAAAGACAGCCCCATGAAACAGAAGAATCTCCGGATCACCAAAAACTGTGGCTTCACAAATACTGTTCAGTCCCGTCTGAAGTCCTGTATATGACCTGGAGTGGAATGCACAGTATGCCTTGTAGTCAATACCATCTTTTTGGAGATTCAGTGGTTTTTTTTCTTTTTTTTTAGGAAAAAAAATTGTAATGTGTGAGTTTGAACGTAACAAATAATAGTAGAGACCTCATTACATATTTTTATTCGTGCCTGTCCTTGAGTTGTCCATTTGTCTTTATGTCTCCACGTGGAATGTGTGTTTCAGCAGTTTTATATAAAGTAGATCTAGACTTCTCTGCATCCTGTAGAATAAAGGGCGGTTTTTCATATTTCTACCTTTGATGAAGGGAAAACCATGTTCCCAGAGCAATAGATAACGCTCTGCTTTTCTGCCCTTCTGATTATGGGAGGTCCCCAAGTCTCACGCTACCTATGCTTTGGAGATGGAACATACCAGAGGGATGAGGATCCAGCCTTCAGCTCTATAAGTTAAGAAACTCAGTTGATCTACTAACTAAATCTTGTTTAATATCCAAAATACTATGGTCTAGGCAGTATAACTATCTGAACTTATCTGACTATAATTTTGAATAAATAATATGGCATCATACCTAAGAGAATTTTCCATATTAACATATCAATTACAGAGATTTATAGTGAAGAGATTTCTAAGCCTTCAATGAACATGGTATATAGAGAGAATAGACTAGAAGTAAGGAAGACTGACATTCTTCTTATGTTTCTGCTGCTATTACCTAGGTATATTTGAAGCTGTTTAAATTTTCTGGGCTTTAGCCAAGAAAGGAAACAGTAGAGAGACTACCTATCCTTTTGAGAGTATGATACAGAATTTGTATGCATCATTTCCCCTCATATACCTTACTGAACTGGTCTTAGGAAGTCAGAATGGAGGTTACAATATGTGGTCTTCATCTGAAACAGAGAATTCTATTACTCAAGAACATGGACTACCAGAGGACAACTAACAGTGTTGTCTGCTGTCCTCATTTATCAGGAAACCAAATGCTCTTTCAGAACCATTCTCCCTGCCCTGCCCTGCCTTGCCCCAGCAGATGTCTGCTTCAGCCTGAATTGGGTCAGATGTTTACCCCTAGCTGTAAAGAAGCTGGAGAAGCAGGAAACAGATTTGGTATCACTGACTTTGACCAAAATTGCTCAAACTTTCTTGGTTCACAGGTCCCTCGGGGTCTTAGTAATTTTTTTCATGGCACACACAAAAAAAGTTTAATTTACAATTTAATAGCCATATAAAAATACATAAATTGAAAGAAGAGTAATGTATTTTTTAGTCTTCAATAACCACAGTAATGGTATATATATATATATATATATATGATGTATATGATATATATATGTAACTGCTGGACACTCTACAAGTTCTCAGGCCTTAGGATGAGACTGGGCAATACCACCCTCATTTCCTGCCATGCTTGCTTTTTAGTGCAGCAACTGCTGAAAACCCAGCTTTGCAAAGATAAGTCAGAGTCTAAAGGAATATAACGGACCGTGACTTAATGTGGAGCTCAAGCTAGTAGCTGGCGTGCTGGTTAACAGCTGTTGAGTCCCACTGTTTTCCTTGAAAATCTGAAATATGTTATGAGCGCCTGCCCCGCTGAGTTCCCTTTGACGCCGAGGGGAATGGGACACAGTGTGGGAACCGCAGACTTATACTAATCGTCCTTCATCGTCCAGGGCTGGACTCACTGCTCCCCAGAGCAGAACTGCACTTTGCTGGGACTCAGAAAATCCTAACACCAAAGTCTGGCACCTTGGAACGCTGGCTACTTGGTGCTAAAGGAGATGAGAGGAGCTTGGAAGTGAGAGCTCCCTCTGAACTTCTCCTGCCCATCCAGCTCTCAACCCTTTTTCTTACCTGAGTTAGAAGTTTTCTTCCCCAAAACGAGTCAGAAAAACCCTCTCTTGCAAAGCCAGGCATGAAACCAAAAAAACTTTCTCCCTTCTCCTTTCCCAGTGGAAGACCCCCACGTCAGGGCCCTGCCCCGCACCGAGGAAGGGGCCTGCAGACCCAGGGAGCAGGAGGAGTCCGGACAGGGAAACCCTGCTGAGTCGCCCTCAGCTTGTCACCAGTGAGCCCTGGTGACATTTCGTGTCATTCCATGTCACTCCTCCCCAGCCATCTGCTCTCAGCAAACCTAAGCGCACAGACGGTGCTCTCTGGGTCTCTCTTCATTTCTGAAGGCTCATGCACAATTCTGATTAAATAAATTCCTATCCTTTTCTCTCGTTAACCTATCTTTTGTCACAAGAGTGTCAGCCGTGATGCTTGCGCTTGAGGAAGTTTATCGCAGTGCACTGTACCTCCTCCTTCTTTTAGAGAGGAAGAAGAGAGAAGGAAAATAATTTAGGAAACTATTTCTGTCTCATTCTGCCCCAGCTAGACTACATGTTCTGGTTTGTTGTTGTTATTATTGGTTTGTGGTGCTCAGAGCTTTCTGCACGGAGCTGTAGCCTCAGACCTTTTAAAAAATTATTCTTTTAAATTTTGTGATAGAATTTCACTAAGGTGCTCCGTTGTCTGGGCTGGGTTTGACTTACAATCCTCCTGCCTTACCCTCCCAAAATGCTAGGGTTACAAGGCATATCCCACCAAACCTAGTTACGACATGCTCCTGGATACTGGTTTGCATATAGCACAGCGTTTGGTACTTAGAGCGCAGTACATATTTACTAACCAGATGAAGAAACAAAGACTATATGATTAATGGAAATCGATCAATTCTATGGAATGCCAAATTATAGAACATTTGTTACCTTTCCAAGTTTCTGTGTGAATCAAGAACCGAGGCTATGTCTTCTGTTTTTCTTACGGCCCAATGCTTATGGCAGGAGATAGAAAAGTTTCAATTGGAAGTTTCGGTGAGAGCTATTCTTTTTCCAAACACCATTACAAAGGAGTTTCTTTACACTGATGATGAAAATTCTTATTAGTGAACTCTAAATATAAATGTCTATGCTGGCTGTCAAGAAAGAAAAATAATCTCCTTCTCATGTAATTTCACTAGGAGCTAAGGCTTTTGTTTTGTTTTCTTTTTACTATATCACCACCAGAAAAACTGACCTAAAGAGAAAAACAAACATTTTTATAGAGATATGAAAAAGGCTGTCTCTACAGTCATTAACTAAACATTTTAAATAATTATTGATCATTATATAAAGCCCAAAAGTGACTTTTTAAAAAAGAACTCCAACATTTTTTAATTATTGTAGACATTTTAGCAAAATTTGTCTTTCCCCTTTTTCTTGTTCTTAGATCAAATTTACTTTTCTTTCATGGTTTTGCAGTGTGGAAAGCCATTTCAGCTCTTTGCCTTGGGTTTCCCAGGTTGCAGTGTCCACCCTGTACCTCTGTGACCCTCTGCAGGAAAATATTCTACCATGTTAGATTATGTCTAGATCTAAAAATTGCCCATGGTTGTTTGGTTACTCTAGTAACATATTTAGAAAATTTTATGTCTAGATCTAAAAATTGCCTGTGGATATTGGGTTACTCCAGTAATATATTTTGAAAATTATTCACATGTGTGTTTCTATTCGTTATATCAAAAGTATTTTGAGGAGAAAAATTATGAATACTTAGAGAATTGCATGGGGGCTAGTACTGAGTAGACATCCAATATGTAATTTCTGAATTAGTAACTATTTTTATCACTTTTTTCCCATGAGCATGAGCACAGTGCTTTGTTCATCATGAGTACTTATGCAAACATTTTTATTTTGTGAGAACCCAAATCATTTTTACTTTAATTCCTGCAGGACTTCTGAAAACTAGAGAAAATTAGGACCTATTCTCCCTTTAGTGGAAATGGCAAAATACAATTATTTCTAATGATTCATATAAAATCTTAAATTTGTACTATATAAGAAATAGTTTGGTTAAAATATCTTTAAGACATGTTATTGAAGAATGTTCATTCAAATTTTGTTGCAGTTCGTAACACATTTTTTTTCTTAACCAGTTTAAGAAAAAGTTTTCACTGAGCATTTGTGGATGCAGATAATGTCCAGGTGCCATTTTTATGTTACAATTTTATGTTCCTGAATTTTACTCTTAAAATACATTTTTATTTATTTCTTCTGTGCTTAAAAATAACACATGCTCATCACAGATAATCAAGCCATTATAAAAATATTTCACAGAAATACCAGAAATCTGTTGATAATACAGAGTATATTCCTACATTTTTTTCTACAGATTTATTCACACAAATAATATTTTATGCAATCGAATCACAGTGCACATGCTATTTTGGTTTCCTTTTTTTTACTAAATAATGTATCTAAACTTTTAAGTGTGAAATATTTTTCAAGACTAGCAAATATAATCCAAAGAAAATGAAATTAGTATATTGAAATTAATTTTCATTCACAAATAAATTTGCTGCCATATTCACAATAGCCAACATATGGAGTCATCCTAAGTGACTTGCAGAGGCATGGATAATTAAAATGTGCTGACCATGCCTGAACACTACTGAGGCATAACAAGAGTGCAGTCCTGTCATTTGGAGCAACCTGGATAGAACTGGAAGACCTTACATTAAATGAAATAGGTCAGGCACAGAAAGACAGACGCCACATGTCATCACTTACAAATGGCACTGAGAAAGCTGATCTCACGGCAGCATCGAGTGGTGCTTAGCAAAGCCTGAGAAGGAAGGGAGGGATGGTTAAGGAGCACGGCAGAGCTGTACAGGAAGAGTAACAGTAGGATGACTTATGGTGGACCACGATAATTGAATATGTCAAAACACCTAGGAGAGAGGAAGTTGAATGTTCTAACACAGAGAATTGGTATCCTAGGCAAAGAGAACTGCTGCCAGGTCTTCAGTAGCATGGTACTAAGTTCTTGGGGGACGAAAGCACTCTGTGGGATTGTGATTACGTTTCAGTCTTTCTGTGAGCCTGTTCTTCTGGACTGTGAACATCACAAGTGTTTCTTAGTCTTCCACCACCCAAGGTGGGATCGGGTGGTGTTCAGTGTTCTGCTTTCCTCAGATCAGTTAACTTCTGTTAAAACCCAAACAGGGTAAGTCCTGATCAGACAGTATCTCCTGTCAGCAGATCTTGTGTAGAAGACCAGAGTGCTTTGGTATATATCAAAGTGATTTCTCTTTCTCTCTGCCTTCCAGAAGCATGAACAGATTTTTTTCCAATATTTTCTGATAACACAGTCAGATAGTTGGTGATGAAATTCGTAAAAAAAGAAGATCCCCTTACAGTTAGTTTCCCTAGGGCTTTGAATCCAATGATGTTTTCACACTCCACCTCTAGCAATTCAGAAATTACAGTTTAGGTTTTCCACCCCAACACTGGTCCCCATGGATATATAGTGATTCTGTGTATGTACCTGTCCATCT